AGAGGAATTGACAATGTAATGCAAGAAGCTGGAATAGATAAATTTGTTAGTATAATTACGGATAATGCAAACAATATAAAAGCTGCGTGGAATATTTTGAAAAATAAATATCTGAATAAGGTGTTTCTTGGATGTTGGGTGCATGGAATTAACCTTTGAGTTAAAGATATTTTGAAGAATCAATGGGCATTATAAGTTCTAAAAAAAACCAAAGAATTAACTTTATATTTTCGTAATCACCAAATTCCTATGACAATTCTTAATCATTTGCAGAAAGAAATTTATAATAATGAAATTGCACTTACATTAACTGTTGATACTAGATAAACATCAGCTTTTGAATGTCTCAATCATGTTTTATGAACTCGAGCTGCAATATATGCTGTAGTAGCTAACAATAGTATTGAAATTAATGAAAATATTAAAGCTATTATAATGGATTATACTTTTTGGACAGATCTTAAGAACTTCCATGATTTTTTAGAGCCATTTATTGTTTTTATAAAACAGTTAGAAGGAGATGAACCATATCTTTCTTTGACATATAAAACATTACAAAAATTAAAAAATAAGTCTATAACAAATTTACAAGTTCCAATTGAATTATGCGAAGATACTTTACAAGTCACAAGAAATCATTGGGTAAATTTTTTATATAACTCAACAATTATTGTCACATATGTTCTTGATCCAAGATATCATGGAGAAGATCTTGATTTCACAATATGGGCAGATAAGATAAATACTGAAGTAATTCAGATTGCAGGTATTGGTAACAAAGATAAAGTATTAGAAGAATTGACAAAATATGTTGGAAAATCAAGAGGCTTCGCAAAAAAGTATTTGTGGGAAAATCTTATCTCAAAACCAATTAATTGATGGAATTTATTAGGCATGCAGTATCCAGTTTTGAGTCAAGTTGCATATAAGGTTTTGTCGATTCCTGCAACTTCAGCTGCAAGTGAGCGTAATTAGTCTGTTTATGGATTTATCTATTCTAAGTTGCATAATCGAATGCTAATCCAGAAGGCAGAAAAACTTGTTTATATATATTGGAATACAAGAATTCTTTGTAAATTAGAAAGCCCTATATCAGTTAAAGATCTTCAAGAAACATGTAATATTAGCTTAAATAATCAAGAAAGCATTATTCTTGATAACAAAGAGGAAAGTCAAAACATTGTTAATAACGAAGAGGAAAGTCAAAGCATTACTGATAACGAAGAGGAAAGTAGTCTTTTAAATTTTTCTAATAAAATTCTTTGTATGCTTGATGATAACGATATATATGACTCTGATAATTACAACGAAGAATAAAAATTCTGTAGTTTTATATTTGAACATGTTTCTTATAATCGATGTTAAAAGAACTTAGCTTTAAAAAAAAAAAAAGACTGTATTGCTATATTAATATGGGTAGTGAGTATTTAATAATACTGGTAAAAACTTTGATAATGCTGGCCACTTTTAAATGTCAATGACGCCATAATCACATGACAATACGCTATTGATTGTAAAATTACATTTCAATTTTGTAACTTACAATGTAATTTACATGAAACGTAACAAAGTAATTTATGTAATACATCCCTAAAAACTACCCCATCATTTTTATGTTACACCAGGCCTGCCGATCCTATCCATATTGACTAAAGATGCAGACATTTACGTAGGATGTTAAAAGTTTTTTTGAGTCGACTCAAGTCTTTAATAAAGATATAGCATTAAAAAAAAAATGTAGGCGCATGTAAAATAAATGTTCAAGGTGCGAGTAAGTTCCAAGTCTGCTTGACTTTTGGAGTTGAGTCGAACTTTTAACATCCCTAACTTTACGTCACATTTCATTCAAGTACGTACGAGAATGTTTCGGATAATCATCCCAAATATAGTTTAGGCTATGGTACAATCTGAAGATTCTACTAGGTGTTCCAAATCACCAGGTCTCTAAATGCTGTAACATTTTTCATACAGTATTTTTCTTTTCCTTTATGCTTTTAGTTGAACTGGGTTGATAATAAGAAAGTATATATTGACCATTAGAAATTAACCCTAATCCGCTTCATAATAAATATAATACTTGCTTCCCACTATAAAAATTACTCAGCTTAAAACTAAACCAGTGCTAAAGTACATAAGTCTCTCCAATGTCGTGACACCGGTTTTAGTGTTAGACGATCTCTAAAATATCGATTTAAATTTGATTTTTGGAACTTACCCTATATAATAAAAATTTTATGCATGAATTGATTTATTATTACCTGGTTCTAAGATCGTTGTTCTCATTTTATTTAAAAAAAAAATCGATCTTATAATTTCTTAATAAAAAGAAAAACTCTCAATTTGACAGAAACTCATTTCGATAAATTGAATGATGATTAATCAATTTAAGCTTTCCTTTTCTTCACTCATAATATTGATTCTAACCCTAACCAGACAAACCGAAAAAAACATTAAATAGCATTAAATCACAAGGAACTTGATTAAATTTAATTTAATGTCTAATATTTATTTTTCTATAAATATATGATCCAAAAGCTCCATATTTCATTAACACACCTCGATTATTATCATCGTTACAAAAGGCTGGTTAATTGAGAATTCGAATTTCCTTAATTACTACCATTGATATCGATATAAAAGGATTCTCCATTCTGGTTAATTGAGAATTCAAAATTTCTAATATACATATTCTAATTTGTTATTAACGTTAATATGAATATGATGAAATCTCTCCTTTGGCTTTTTGCTTTCTTTTGCATCACCTATTTCTTGGTTATTGATGCATCGCCTATCCATAATCCATCATCTCCCTCCTCTCAACTTGGTTGTAACACATAATTTTTATTTTATTTTTAGTTACTGATAATATTTAATTGACGAATTTAAAGATTTTAAAGTCACTTGCGTTGACGATTCTCAGTGCACTGACGGAAAAGTTTGCCGAGCATCTATTAAAGGTACTGCTTGTGTATCTAATACAACAGTAATTGATAATAAACCTACTAAAAATCTCAAACAAATCGGTTGTGATGGTAAGAATCATTTTCATACTATATGCATATAAAATATTTTTTTATTTTTATTTTTAGTTACTAATAATATTTAATTGACAAATTAAGCATACCCTGTCGAGTGCCTCACTCTTGCCGATTGCAGAAGCGATAAAGTTTGTTCGTTTTTTGCCACAGGAATATTCTGTATCTGTAATGATCCAAGCGGAAATAACTGTTTTTAGTTAAATTTTTTTTAACTAAAATCTGAAGGTTTTTATGATTCAAACAGATTTAAATCTTAATTTTTATGTTGAAATTAAGAGAGATGTTTTTTTGTTTTTTTTTGCAATATAAAAATGCAATACAGTCAGACCTCTATAATTGCACCCCCTCAGAAAATTTTTTAAAAATGTTCATTTAGGAAGGGTGTGCATTTATAGAGAGAATTTTTACTATGTCTCTATTTACTTGGGCGTGCATTTAGGGAGAATTTACATAGTGGGTGCATTTATAGAAAGTGCAATCATAGAGGTCTGACTGTATATATGTTGTATGTCAAAGTTCAATGGTTGTCAATTCTGAATCGATTTACGTTAACTTAAGATTAGGATCGACATACAAATAAAAATTTATTTCAATTTAATATTATGCTATTTAATGCTGACAATGATAGTTGCTGTCATAATAAACTCGGCAAATTTTTTACGTAATGATTAATAAGGCTACACAAACTTAATAAATCGGTGTTCATAACCCGGCAGGGTCAAAATTTACAAAACTTCAAAAAAAAAAATTTCAAGTATACTTATTATCCGGATAAGTTTTTTAAAAAAATTTATAATATAAATTTTTTTGAAAATAAAATTAAAAGCCGGGTCACTTTTAAATATTTTATGTTATGAAACCTATTTATTAAGTTTGTATGGCCTAATTAGTAAATATGTATAAATTGTTTTTTGTCTTTTTTTCTTTAATATTTTTGCAATGGAAAATAATAGTAAAGGTTGTCTTTTTTTTATATAAAGTGTATTTAATTTTTTTTAGAAAATTATATTAAAGTAAAGATAGATATTTTTTATTTAAAAAAATTATTCATAATATAACAAACATATGATCAAGTTATACATGTTAGTTTAAATCCTAAAATAAGTTATAAAACAGCTCAAGGTAGGTATTAAATATGATTAATATTTATAATAAAAAATATTGAAATTGAAGAAGCTTATTGCTGTAAAAGAAAAACTTTATAATATTCTTTGTAGTATATATAGAACACAACAGTATAATAGTTAACAAATAAATTTTAAAATTATGATAGTTTTATTTATTAATATTTATTTAAAAAATTTATTACATAATATAAAACTTGTAAATTATACTATAATTTATTTTAACATATTACAGTAAAACTAATAATTTATACAAAATGTATATATTTTTTTTTTGGTATTAAGATGATCTCTTTGGTTTTTTGACTTTTATTAATTACTTATCAGTATTGTGATTCAATAAACCATTACAGGAAAGTATACAATTGGCTACACATATAACTTTTCTATATTACCTATTTAAGAAGTCCACCTAAAGGTTCTTTACCAATTATTGTACCTAACACTTCTACTTGAATGTTCTACTTTAAATTCTTTGAACTTGTAATCTGTATTAACTCACTGAATTATACTCAGATACTCAAATTATCATCTCAATCTTAGAACTAATTTATCTTCGAGATAAACTCCTAGAGCCTTCTGTATTTATTTTTATAATTGACCTAGTTATTGCTATAGCAGAACCAATACTTGTAATTAGAGCTAACTATTAAACCATTATGTTCTTGTAGAGTTCACATAGATCTTAGCATATACTTCACAGCATAATCCTGGTACTTTAGTATACCTTTGCTTTTTTTTCTACCTTTTTACCAAATTCACAATCCAGATAGCCTGTGTAAAATTACAACTAGTCCATCAGTATATTGGGTTGGTCTGATATCCTTTTTCTCTAGTTCATTTTGGTGGTCTAGTTGGTGATACTTTTAAGACTTCCAATCTAAAGATTCTTGTCTGTTCAGTTACTATGATTAGGTACTAGACCTTGGTATCTGTTTTGCTAGGCTAGCCTTTACAGTAGGACCATCAAAGATTCAGCTACCTCTCTACTTGGGTCTTTCCAAATAGACTTCTTGTTACCCAATTTTATTAGATTTACATAGTCACAAGAACTTATCTAGTGTTTGCACTGCCTAATTTGGTAGTTTGCATTCCTCTGTATAACTACAATATTACACAAATACCCTATAACTTGCCAGTTATGCTGATGCAACTACTATTACAGGTATTCTAACCTAATCATTAGTAATAGTTGCTGTAATGTGAATATTATATAGGTGATTATTCAAATTTTTATTATCGATAAAATTTGAACATCCAATTTACCACTTGAGAGGTTAACAATCTAATTACTTCACTAAGTCACCACACCTCTTATACAAAATTTATGATAAGATTAAAATAATAAATAATTATAATTTTAATAATTATTATAAAAGATATAATAACTTAGTAAAGTAAATAAGTTGTCAATCTTTCAAGTAGTAGAGTATAGTTCAAAATTCACTAACAATAAAAAATTTAGACAATTACTTATATTATAGTAACTATTTTCTATTAATTAGTTAAAATAAAATACTTATGACTATGATTACATTAATATAACTAACAAATTATAAAGCATTTGTATAACTTAGTTATACAAAAAAATACAAACTAGTATTAGATAAAGCAAAGTTAAAATAAATTCTTGTAATTATGCTAATTTATAAAATTAAAAAAAAACAAAAGTTTATTTAAGAAAATCTGAATAAAAAGATAATATAGATCTTTAACAATAATATTGTAAAAACTAGATCTAAAAAACAGATACTAATATAGAAAAACTAAATAGACAAAAACTTCTAGATTTAAATACTTTGTTAAAAGTATTTGTAAAACTTACTTCCTTGTACTATAGTCATCACAAAAATGAAATGATGAATGGACTCCATTAGCTTATTATATTTACTTACAACTTTACTAATTTTAAACTTAACCAATCCAAATTATTTAAAATTAAAATACTTCTTAATAAATTATCTACTTAATACCTTTATTATAAAATCTATTTTCTAACCTTTTATAATATTAATTGCTTTTATTTTTTTATTATTTATTTTTATTTCTTTTTAAACCTTAAGCAATTATGCTAATACTTTATTAAGATTCTTGAAACTATATACATATACAATTACATAGAATTTCTTAATATCTAAGTCTAGCATTACTCAGCCATCTTTATGGTATCTAAGTACAACCTGCTGCATTATCTTAGTTAGAAATAGACTGCTCATTCAACTACTTAAAGTTATATGAGAAGGGTTTCTTCTTTTTTGTTACAAGCATATTAATTATCTTCTAAGCTTTCTTCTTTATTTGGTTTGCTTTTTCTTTCTTTTTCTTTTTCTTTTTCTTTTGTTTATTTATCCTTCTTCTTTTCTTTATTTATTTTTTCTTTTGTACAAGCATTCTTTTTTATTTTTTTATTTTATTTTTTTTTTCAGTATTAAGGTGATCTCTTTGGTCTGAGCTTTTTATTAATACTTATAGCAGGTATATGTTTTATATAGATATATCTATAATGAACTATTAGATGAGTGTACAACTGGCTATATATGTAACTTTTCTATATTACCTATTTAAGAAGTCCACCCGAGGGTTCCTTACCAATTGCCATACCTAACACTTCTGCTTAGATGTTTCATTTAAACCCTCTGATCTAACCCTAGTATTAATTTCATTAAATTACAGACTAGATCTATTCACATTTGACCATAGGACTACAATTCTTAGACTATTTTTATTCTCAAGGTAAACCTACTAGAGCGAACCATATTTCCTTTTACTGCTAACCTGGTTTGACACCATGGCCAAGACTAATACTTGCAATCAGGGTTACTCCTTAAACCACTATTGCCCTTGTAAAGTTCACCCAAACTCTGATATCCATCTTTCTGACTTCTTTTTCATCATCTCCTACTAGTCACAACTTGGAACTAACTGACTTCCCAGACTTCCAATCCAGATGGCCTAGTATGATATACTTATGTATCCTTTTCCTCCAGTAATTCCAGTAGTCTGGTTGGTCATGTGCTTCTCTACACATCTTTGTCATCTAGTTTATCCAACAGTTCTTATGAAGGTGTTTTATAGGCTTTCACCATCGAAAGTTTGTGTTACCTTTTTACTTAGAATTTCTAAATGAGTTTTTGTCTTTTCAGTTTCTTAGCCTTCTATGCCCAGTGGTCTTATCATGGGTTTGCACTGAAGCCTTATACGATACTGGTTTTTCACATTCCTCTATGTACATGTACTATATAATATTACACTTCACATAGATGCCTTGAGCTCCCAATGTTAGGTGGAATCCAACTTGGTGTACCTAAGATTACAGATGCCCAAAACCCAACCAATCGGCAAGAGACAGTTACCATAACACAGATATAATTTCCAAAATTCATTGTCTGTAGGAATTGAACCTTAGACCTGCTACTTGAGGGTTGACAACCTATCCACTTCACTAGGTCACCACACCCTTATTCTTTTTTATCTTATTTGTTATATTAATCTTATTTTTTTAGTCTTGTATTTTTTTATATCAGACTCTTTATACTTGGTTGTAGAAGATGTTTTATATTGTTCTCCTTACTATATCTATGCACTTCTACATTGCCTGCTTGTTTAAGAATTATTTGAGTTTCTTTTCTACTTTTATCTTTATGAGTTCTTTTATTAGCACTTTACTGTTTTTGATTTTTTTTGCTTTTAATTTTTTAAATAATATTTTATATAAAACTTGTAATAAGATTCTGTTTTTCTCTTCTTCTTTAAGCCTATTTCATGCTGTTGCTGTTGCAACTTTTTGAATCTGCTTTTACCAACTTTTTTGTCTGTTACAACTTGCTAGATGTGTCTGTATTTCTTTCTCTTTAGCTTAGCATACCTGGC